TTTTTCAGGAAATTTTGTTTTTATACTGGTTTATCTCTATTTCCTCAAAATTATTGAAGGTTACTACCATAGAGTTGGTTACTACTAGAGAAGGTTACTACCATGGTTACTACCTTCAATATATCTACTGCCTTCAATAAATTATTGAAAGATATTCTTCAAGAAATTCTGGAGAATGAAAGGCCAAGANGCCATAATAATTTCCATCATATCCTTTTTCAGGAAATTTTGTTTTTATACTGGTTTATCTCTATTTGCTCAAAATTATTGAAGGTTACTACCATAGAGTTGGTTACTACTAGAGAAGGTTACTACCTTCAATATATCTACTGCCTTCAATAAATTATTGAAAGATATTCTTCAAGAAATTCTGGAGAATGAAAGGCCAAGAGGTTATGCGCATCGGCTATTCTAAGTTTTCTAGCTTTCTCAATCCATATTTTTTTTTACTTTTATCTTTTTCTATTACGTTGTTTATTTTCCTGTTTATAAAGATTTTTAAATTGTTGTCTCAATGCGCGTTTAAAATTTTATTTTTATAATTGTATCCATTTCATTTTTACAGTTTGCTGACATAATTCGTTTATCCAATGATAATTTTATGTAAAAATGTTTTTAAATAATTTTTTTATTAGTAATAGTCGAAAAAAGTTTGAATTGTAAGGTATACAATTTTTTTTAAAAAATATAATTTTTTTATTTTAAAATAAAAAAGTTAAAAGAAGTTAGTTGAATAGTTTCTGAAAAATAAATTTCAAAAAATCAGACTTTTTTAAATCCAATTACGAAGTCAACAGTAATTTTTTTTTCATGCACTGCACTCTATCCACAAATATTAATTGCTAAAATATCCATGTTAAGATAAATTTATTACAATATGAAAGCTGAAAAAATGCACCAATTTCTTCTAATTTTATTTACTAGAAAAATTATTTCTTAATGTAATAATTTTTTAATGTGTTTTTGTCTAAGATACCTAACCATCTTTAAGAATGTTGAAAATTAACAATAATTTTTGTTGGCTGAGGTTGAAATACTATTCTTTTTTTTTTTTAATTCATCTTTAAAAATAATTTCTCATTTTTTTTAAGTTGCATGCAAAATTTTAATGAATTATTCGTTTCACTAGTTAACTATTTATTCAATACCCTCTTTCTTTAATTTAAAAACTTCCGATTGTTTTCAGAAAAGTTTGAAGGTTGAAAATATGTGTTTTATTTAAATTGAAAAAGACAGTCTATCGAATTATTTTAATCCAAAAAACGAAAAAAATCAATTTACTATACATTGATATACCATAAAGTATATAAAGTCATACATTTAATTTACTCCTATCTTTACTTTTTTCTCGTATTGATTACGATCGTTTGAGTGACGATGCATCACGATGCTGGAATCTTAACATCGCCCAGTCCTAATTACTACAATAGACTCTTAATGTTTCAAAGGATACACTTTAAATATACTAACTTGCTGCCAATGAATTATTTTTGGAAGTTAAGCACAAAAATACATTTACTCTGAATAAAAACTCTTTTTTTCCCCTGACAGATTTGGATCCTCAATGAAGGGAGATAATCAAACACAAGAGAATAGGGGATACAGTCATAATTTGAAAAATATGGTCCCAATATTTCAGTCAAGAGCAGGGTGTAAAACTTGATCTCATTTAATGTTGTTTTCACACAAATTGAAAAATTCTTGCATCTGCTCCTGCATTTCCACATTTGAATGGGGAAAAAAAAAGAATACAGTTTAAAAATAAGAATATTTTCTTTTAGCAAAACAGCCAGATTCTAATAAAAAGAGGTATCACACTGATCTAAATAGTGTTAAAACTTTTTATTTAAACAAAAATACTTAAATTACATAACAAATTTTTCAAAAGCAATTCAGAACATAAAAATTTTGATAAGGAAACAAGAAACTGAAGTAAATTTAACAACTAAAATGAAAACTTAAATAATTAACAACAAAAAGGAAAAGAAAAGCAGAAACCAATTAAACTCATGCACAAACTGGAATTTTTTTTTTTTTTACTGTTATACAGAAAATAATAATTAAAACAATAAAAGACTTGCTTCATACGTCATGTATAACATACAAAACTCAAAATAGTTAGAATACATATATTTAAAATATAATGAATTGGAATGTTTGAAGATGGTGAAATCAATGCAACATTACAAATTAAAAAGAGAGGTGTAAAAAGAAATGTACACTATTGTTGCAACAGTTATTTCTTAATATGGAGGACTTCCTTTTATGTTTTACATATTTAATAGAAAATTTATGAAATAATTTAAGTTGTAACAATTCTATATGGTGAAATATAAAAGAGAATTTTAATTTATTTATGATCATAAGATCAATTTTTCATGGATACTTTTTTTTACACAAAATTATTTAACATCAAATTTAAAAATTGTGGTCTCACATAGCTGCCAAGTACTACACTTTTTGCAAAAGATATTATAGACTAGTCAAAAACTAAACATTTTAGAATTCCGTTACGTTTTGCCAACAGTTTTAAAGCCTCACCATGAGAGTAATGGAACAAAGAGGTATTTTCTATGATCATTTAAATTAGTGACATGCCGTGGTAGAGAAATAACTTAAAATCAAATTTACTAATTAAGAATTATACATTAAAAGTATAAATTTCGCTAAAAGAAACTTTACCACAAAGCTTAGGAATTTGGCATATCTCAATTTATGTTATTTAACTAAGTGAAATATAGAGATTAACAACCATATCAATGCTTATTTCTACAATCATCAAACGTGTATTTTCCTTTAGTTTTGCACAAAATTTCGTATCAAAAAATCTAAAAAAAAATTTTTTGCATTTTTATCATCATCTTAACAAATCAATACATTTTATGTAGCATTTAGCTTACTAAAATAAGATGGATATGTTTTATTTCATTTTTTTAAAAGCAAAAGAAAGAGTAATGCGTAATTTTAAAGAGAGCATTTTGTTTAGGAATAATAACATTTTGCTCTGAAATAATTCAATTTTTATCAATTAAAAATTTAATTTATTTCATTTGAAATTTAATATATTTCCTTTTTCAAGTTGCACACATAAGAGAGAGGCTAATTGACATTAAATTTTTTTTTTCATTTTCTGTATATCTATATATTATTCTAATAAAAATATATTATGTCAGCAGAAACTATTCATATTTGTGTATATGCTTAATATTGTTGACAGAAAATCTTTTAGGGACAATTATGTTTTTCATTAAGTTTGAAGACATAAAAATAATGTGTTCTCTCGGCTTTATCTGGAGCACAATTGAAAAAATATTTTTTAAATAAAATTCATGTAGAATTTTTAATGAATATAAAGATCAGTTTGTTAAATAAAATATCTGTTACAATAAGTCGAGAAACAATAATCAATAAGTCATAAATGAATAAGTCGAGGAACAATAATCCATAAGTCATAAATGAATAAGTCGAGAAACAAAAATCAATAAGTCATAAATGAATAAGTTGATAAGTCGAGAAACAATAATCAATAAGTCAAGAACTTGCATTATATATATGGCATAAATAGAAATATTACATAGAAAAAAAAACATAGAAATTTAATAATCGGCAGTAAACTTAAATCATTGATATTATATGTGAAAAATTGTGTTTTGTTGATGAAAGTTTATTTCATGTAATACATTTCAATGAATCTTTAACAACCTTAGTCTTATAACAAACTGGCTAAATAAAAGTTAAGCGTATAGTGTACTATGTATGATCTCACAACATAAAAAAAAATACTCATATCACAACCGGAGAGAGAAAAAAAAATTTCCCGCATAATAAGAAATATTGAAGTCAAAATTCAGTCCAAAAGAATAATGGAAAGATAAATCATATCTATAAGATTATGTCAGAAATATTGTTTGACTTGGCAAAGCTAAAGAAAAAAAAGGGCTTAAAGACAATTTAATCTATAACATTTAACTTGTCTTCCATACAAAAATAAATAAAAATCCTTCAAATTTTCAATTAAAATTTTGTTTCTTTTAATAAGTCAAATGAATTAACAAAAAATAATCTTTTAAATATTTACTTCAAATAATTAACAGAGATATTAAATTGTAGACACTGACTCTTGAATGCTAACAGTTTTTTGTTGGAAAAAATATGCTTAAAGTTAACTGCATTATTTTTCTACAAGTTCTAATAAATTTTTTAAATTATTCAACTAAAAAAATTTATCTTCTGAAAAAATTATATCATATATCACGAATTTAAACAAACATTTGAGAATGATTTAAGATTTTTTTTAGATGTTAATTTATTTGGAAACTATATTTTTTTTAAAAGGTAGAGATACGAATAAAAATAAAATTATCTTGACACTTTTAAAACAACATTTGTAAATTTGCAATCACTCTAGAAAAAATTATACCTCAAAACATATAATTAAAAGTAATACAATTATAATAATTTAGCTACATTATTATGAAGAGAATGCTATTTTAAAATAGTTAATTTTAATTTTTATTAAGAAATAGTTTCTTTTTTATTCATAAACTTAAAAACTAAAAGTCAAGCTACAATAGTATTAAAAGAGTAGCTAAAAAAGGTAAAACATATAATTTCAATTTATCTATTTATTCATAACCATATACTTAATAAGTTTCTGGAAAATGTGATTGAAAAGTAGCTTAAATATAATAAGGAGGGCAATTAAATTTGTTTGAAAAATTTATGAATTGCTGAAAACTATTTCATATTTGTTGAGTTGATTTCTTCAAAAACTATCAGGTAAAATAAAATTTTCAATAAAATTTGTATTTTTTGATGATGCAATAAAATGTTCAAGTTAAATTGGTAGGGCTTAATAAAAGAGCATATTATATTTCTTTCCAACAGTAGTTAAAAAATATAAATAATGAGAACAATATTTACTAAGTAATACATATTGATACGGTCTAAAAATTTGGTCAAAATTTACATTGAGTTTAAGTCAAAGTATTGAAGTACAGATTTTCAGCTGAACATTTCAACTACTAACTCCACAGCTCCAGTTTAGCTAGTCTTGTGGAGAACTAATTTGAACCAAAGTTGTATAAAAAAGTGTAAACATTTTGAAGCAATAAAAATGAAAATATCAAAACTGTCAGTGGGTAAAGCAATTCTATGGATAAGTAGTATGCTATCAAGAAAAATACCTTAACATATTCACATTGATGTATGTAAATTTAAGGCATCTTTATAAATATTTACCAAATTTAACGAAAATTGTGTTGTACAATAAAATACACTGTTTTATCACAAGAGTAAGTTCAACATAAGTTTCTCCACATCTTCAAACACACAAAAATCGTCATTCAATTTTATAAACTGTTGAAAACATTTAAGCACAACATCTTGAGTTGCAATATTTAATATTTTGGGAGTTGAAACATCTAAACTCAAAATATATTCTATCACTTTGTTGTAAAGCTTTACAGAATTGTGCAATTTCGCAAACTGATAAACTTTAATGGCAGTCTCGGGTGAAAAATGATGGCATAAACGGTTTTCAGCAAATAGCTTGATGTCATGAAGTAAAAATTTTTCACATTCGGATAAAAGCTCCATTAAAATTTCAAATGGAATTATTTCCAAGTAAGGACAGTATCCATTTTTGCAGCAACCATGAAGAAAGTGAAAAATGACTTGCAATGTTTCTGCTGATATTCCAGATATACTAAGAACAGTTTTGCATTGCTCTTTGAAATAGCCTTTTAATAAAGCGTTAAAGTAGTCAGAATTGGTACAAATTTTATCACGGGAAGCACCTACCGCCATTCCACCATTTACAACAAATGTTACATCAAAAATGTCATTTTTATATACACAAGTATTACTGTACTTGAGAGGAATATTTTTTAAAAAAAGACGATTATCTTTATTCAGATTTTGGAATAACTGGCATAAACATTTAATATCTTTTATAGATATAATTGCAAATTCACTTAAAAATTGGAATAAAATTCTTAAGCCATTAGCAAGTATAAGCAGTTTGTACAAAGAATTTCTATTTGAAACAAGCTTTGATATTGCCAGTAAAGCATGAGACTTAATCTCTTTATCAGAAATACATAAAATGTGACATAAAGTTCCGATTCCAAATTCAGTTTCAGCCACTTCACATAAAGCATAATATAGATTCCGATAAATACAGAAAATATTTCCACAATAGTCGCACTTCTGACCATGATAAACCACAAAAATTTCCTCAATATCAGTATAGAACCCATTTTGAATAAGAAACTCAAAGAAATGCTTATTCTTTATAAGACTTAATAAGATACTTTCTGCTTTTGGACTAGGATTTTTTATGTAAACGATGTAAATCATCAGAATGGAATAATTTGATTTATTAGCTAAAACAGGATTATTTTTCTGTTTTAAGTGGCATGAAAGAACATATAATAAGTGTAATATTAAATGATCCATTTTATAAATAGAACTTGTGTTAGAATAGTGATTAAATTTCTCAATACAAATGTCATCTCTTTTGCGTTCTCCATGATTAGCACTTTGACCTTGAGCGACTAAGTTCTTACCTTCTTCAAGTTTTAAAATATCTTTTTTTCTTCTTTTGGGGCACAGGAAGTCTACATTTTCAGGTTCAGAAAAATATTTTTCACTGTCAGAAGAATCTCTATCATAACATAAATAAGGTAAGTCTTCATGCTTGTTTGATTGTAAAAAAGATGATGAATCCTTTTCATTTTCTAATTTCCATTTCATATATTTTTTAGGTTTAACTTTATAATGATTAGTAAGCTTTATACTGTTTTCATTATTAGAATTCAAATTGGAAGAGATCAACTTGCACGGAATTCCAGCAACATGACTAGAAACAGAAGAACTACTACTGTCACTGTAATAAAATGGAGAAAATGATGAGTCAATGCTTGAAGAACTAGGACTCTTTTTTGAAGAACTACAATTATCAGTTAGCTTCCGACTGTTTAGATTACTGGAGTCCAAATCCAAAGGCATCAATTTCCAGGGAACATCAGCAACATGACTAGAAACAGGAGAACTACTACTGTCACTGTAATAATTTGGAGAAAAAGCTGAGTCACTGTGTGCAAAAGTGGGACTCTTTTTAGAAGAATTGCGATCAGGAGAACAAGATGAACTAAAATAGTCGGAAGTAGGTGAACAACCGGAATAAGCATTTGAACTTTCAATATCAGAGTGAGTTTTAAGCTTTCTTGAAGTGTCAATCTTAACACAAGATGAAATACCATTTTGTTTTATTTTCCCTTTGTCATCATAAATATTTAATTGAAGATTTGGTTCCAGCTTACTCCGTGAAAATGAATATTCAGCATCAGTACTAAGAACATTCATGCAATATGCTGATTTTTCATGATGAAATTCATTACAATTGATGAACTGTTTTAGGCCTTTAACTAGAACTGAAATTAAATCGGAATTTATCAGATATTCTGCAGTTATCTCTCCAACAGCAAAAGGGCAAAAAGAATTTAAAATATTACGATGAATATCTTTTAAAGAATTTACAGTAAGAGCACTAATAAGTGGTTTTAATACATCTTCCATAGAAATCCCGTATGCACTCCACATATGCCAATAATTCAAACAATTACATAGTCCTAACAGAGCATACCTTTTTATCTCTAATGGTGAAGTTAAGTCTATTGCCACTTGAGAAAAGATTTTGATAGCACCAACTTTTGTAAGACTAGAACGAGCTGCTTCATGACATGAAAGATTTTTAAGAGACTTAGTGACATACAATTTAACTTTAAATTCAGTTAGAGCAAACAAGTTAATTAATATGTTCAATGTTTCTCCCTCTAAGAGTTGAGCTACATAGTCTGAATTACAATTTTCAGTTAAATCAGCAATAGCTTGGGTGGAGCACAGAATGACATTCTTATCTGATGAACATAAGAGTCTAGATAAATGAATAATTCCACTTTCTCGGATAATTAAGTCGCAAGATTTTGGACAATTACCAAGAATTCGAAGTGTTCTAACTGCAGTTTGTATGGCATTTACTTCAGATGTTCTAGTTAGAAATTTAATAACATTGGTTATTAGTTCTGAAATATTGATATTTTTAGAGAATTTCTGATTAAATTTTGCAATATTACCAAGAGCTCTGCATGCCCTATTAATAATGTCATCATTTATCAAGCTTCCCATTATACGAACTAAAGATTCAATGCCTTTATTTTCAATAACTTTTGCAATCCAATATCTTTCCATACAAGCATCAGCAATAATACTCAGAGATATACTAGAAAATTTTGGGTGTTCAATAAAAGAAATCAATAAGGGTATCACAGAATGACTTTCTAACCCTTTCATTTTTTTAAAATCTCGCACATAATTTCTTCTTATAACCTTTAAGGCTTCATAAACCTCAGAAGAGTTTTTACTCTTTAATTTGACAATGACTTGAGTTTGAGATTCCATCCTTATTAAAAGTCAGACAGCCCTTAAAAAAAACAAATGCATATAAATTTTGAAAATTAAGTAAATAAGCAAAAATTAAAAAAAGCTAATTATATGCTAATTTTATAATAAATTCACATTATTATCTTCATTCTGCTATTTATTTTAACACAAAAACAATTGTTCTAAACTATTAAATGCGCATAAATATATATATATATATATATATATATGTGTGTGTGTGTGTGTGTGTATGTGTATATATATAGTTAAACATGTTTTTTTTTCAATTTTTTTTCTTCAAAACCTTTGTTTCTCTAATTTCTAATAATAGAGCACAAATGACAATAAGACCCAAACAACATAACTTTCTTTATCAGCAGAACTTGCCAACGAAGAAGAATTTCATGATGAAACAGGACTATTTTATCAGCTTGCCTGACAAAACTGCCAAGTTTAAAGATGAAGAGTGGAGAGACGGAACGAAAAGCAAAGTTTGTTTGACGCTGCTCTTAGCTGCCAATGAAGATGAATCAGGGAAACTTCCTTCTCTCATGATAGAACGTATAGAAAAACATAGATGTTTTGCTAAAGTTAAATTATTCCCTTTTAAGTACAAAACCAATAGGAAAGCTTGGATGACAGGTGAAATGTTTGGCGCAGGGTTGGGTTTTTGCCGTCAAAAACTGGTTTTTGACATGACAGTGGTAAAAACTGTGTTTTCACCGGTAAAAACTGTCAAAAACCTGTTTTCCTTAATTTATGGCATATAGCGGACAATATATTATTTTCACATAATTGCCTTTATAAATGAATGTTGTAATTGATTGCTATTGATTTTGCAACTATATACATGTATTCTTATAGAAGGATATACATTCATACAGAAATATTGAAACTCTAAAAGGATTTCCCAGGTTTTTTTGATGTATCATTTCTGTGTAAAATATTGAAAGCAAAATTGATAAGAAAAGTTTATTTTATGAGGCTTTCTTTTTATGTGTACATGTGTTTCTCATAGCAAAATTTTAAGAATGAAAGTAATCAATTTTGACATTCTTCAGTAATGTAATATGCCAAACCAAATGATGGTTGGAAATGTTGAAATTTTTTTTTAGTATCCTAATATTTTACTTCAAATAGTATGTTTTGATGTATTCATGTTGGGAAAATGCAAGAATCTGTTCTTAAATATTTTTAACAACTTTTTTTCTAATTTTATTGCCCAAAAATGAATTTTAAATTATAAGCAGTTTAACTCAAATAAGAATACAGTTTTACCAAAACTATGGGTTTTTGACAGTTTTTTTTGACATGACGGTAAAAACCATGGTAAAAACCGTCATGTGTCAAAAACTTGCCAACCCTGGTTTGGCGATTGGTTTAAATCTATGCGAGGGAAAAAGAGAAAAATCATTTTTTTCATAGACAACTGCACTGCATATAACAATCTGCCTAACTTGAAAAATGTCATTGTAAACCTTCAAACACCACCTCAATATTGCAACAAATGGAACAAGGAGTAATTAGGAGTTTTAAAGTGAACTATAGAAAACAGTTGGTACACAAACTATGCCATCGATAAACTATCCAAAATTGTTTTAAAAAGGCTAGTTTTAAGATGATAAAGACACTGTGAAGATGATAAAGAACATGTTGAAGGCATCAGTTAATAAAAACTGTTGACACTGGAAATGCAGTGCCAGATTTGTAAGAATGGAATGCAATAAAATCAGGATTTAATGTTGACATTAATTTTGAAGATTTTTAACAAGTGGAAAACTGTCTGGCAACATGGGGAAGATTGACGATGCGGAAATCCTAGATAATGTCAAAGGAATATCAGATGAAGAGGAAAAAGCTAGCGATCATATTGATGAACCAAAAGTGAGTGTGAAAGAGGCAGAAAAAGTTGTCGAACTCTTATAAACTTTTCTTGAATCACAGGAAAATGTTGGCTATGAGGGATTTGCTGCATTTTCTAACCATAAAAGAATTATCAAGCAAAGAAGGTCAGACATCAAAAATTTTTGAAAGATACTTTTCAATGCTAAAGCTACATAACATGTTAAAAAAATGTTATGTAAATAGATGTATGTGGTATAACTAATTTATAGAAATGCATGTATTTGACTACTAAAAACAATTAAAGCACTTTTAAGTTTCTTAATTAAATTTAATTTCTTAAAGTACCTGTACAGCACGGAACCTCTTTACATCAAATTTTTCGACTTTCCCCTGAGATTCGAGGTAAACAGGTCCAACTGTATACACATATGCATAGACTGCAGCACTGAATTTTACATTACTAAATTTTTACCAAATATATTATACGATGACCACTAAGAGCTCATTCTTTATTATTTTGTCTTCTTTGCAATTTTGATAAGTATTAAATAAGTCCATCTAACTCTAACGTACTTTTTTATTTTGCTTTATCTAGGTAAGTTTGCTTTTCTTTGTTTCTTTCATTTTAAACTAATTTACAATTGTATTATTATTAAATTTTTTTGTGGCATGGGGGCTTTATAATAAGCAATCTTTATCTTAGGATAATTATTCTTTATTTTGAAATGCCTCTATCGTTTAAGAATGAATACTGAAGAGAACCTTTATGTTTATTCCATCAAATTAGATTATATTTCTAATTCTATTATGTTTAAAATTTTATATATATGTATGTATGCATAGATATATATATATAGATACACGTACCCATGCAATAGAATCCCATCCAACCAGAACATCTGCTCCTGCACACAAAAACACAAAGTTTCTTTCATCTTCACAAATTAATTATGAAACTAAGAAGCTTGAATAAAATATACATTCTATAGTTTTAGTTCGATAAATAAGAAACTCTTTAGTCAAAACACAAACTTCATTCTGTGTTAACACTGACCATTATTTATGCTTTATTCGTGCATGGAAATACATTTGTTTGCGCATTATTATTATTTGCTCTTAGATTGTGGCCTTTAATCACATTGCTTAGCTTTATATGTAGCATTAAGTATATTCTTATCTTAATTTTCATATGTTTTCATCTTCTCTAAGTAAGTTTTGATTAATATATTTTAAGAACTTTATTTTAGTTTGCAGTTAGTTTATCATGCATTGTAATGTTAGTCATTTGCCTTTTAAAACTTACAAATGCAACATTTGAATACAATTATTTTATTATACACTTTACAGACAAATTTTAGAATTATTCCATGAAGTTGTGAAACAGAGTGGGTTATTCCAACCTTATGAACATAACATTTGTAAACTTTGAATGAGTATAGCTTAATTAAAAATCATCAAATACTTTTAGTATTTTTGTAGTATTTTGTAGCTCTTTGGGTTCTTTGCTGTTGTTATGAAACTTTTTAACCTCCATGAATTTGAAATTTTTTTAAAAAATGAAAATCTACAGATGTAATTTATACCAATGTCAAAATTGCCCAGTATGAATTTTTGCAAATTTTTTTTAACATATATTCAAGACTGGCGAACAAGTGTCAAAAGTAGAGAGAAGTGGATTTGAATTCAAAGGAAGGCACTGGCCCACCCTGGGCTGTCTAGCCAGATATGATGATGATATTCAAGACATTATGACATTTTTAAAAACAATCAAATGTTATAAATTTAATAATAATGAAAAGCACAAATTAATTTGTTATGGACGTAACACTCTGATTTTAAATTATGGATTAGCTTTTATAAAATGGAAACCCTAAATAAATAAAAGATTACAAAATGAAAATGACTTAAAATTAAAAATAAATAGTCTTAATGATTTTATGAACATCTCTGATAAGGAAGAAAGAATTCTATTAACAAATTTTTGAGTAAAACAAATACTTTTTACATAGATCTTTTATAAAAGAAGGATTTATTAAGTAAGAAGTTCATTTTTTGATCATGATTGCGATTAAATAAGAAATAAAAGATGCTCAGATTTTAATCGTTTTATAAGAAATTTACAATGTTGTAATGAACTTTATTATAGGTAAAAATCAGAAAAGTTAAGTTTTTCCTTTGGCTCTGTGGTAGGCTCAGCTAATACTTTTTTTATTTAAGTTTTTCTATCAATGTTTAAAATGTTATTCAGCACCTTCAGAAAAAAATATTGTCATACTGAAGGTCAAACTTTTTCATATCAGCAAGTAAATTGTCATATGACAAATGGTCTGAGGTCATTGCATATGAATGTATTTCTTGTACAATGTATGCAACTACTATGTACACAATTTAATCATTTGTTCAGTGTGTACTTTGTTTCATTGTTACATAGAAGTGAAGTTCTGACTAAAATCCACCATATGAGTACATCTCTTTTCTGGTATCTGATTTTAAGATTCATGGAAGTATAAATGTTGTTCTGTTTCTAAGAACAATGTTCAAGAAATAGACATTTTGATAAGGTTTAATATACTTTAATGTTTTAGTAAGTGTTAAATTAAATTTAGAACAGTTTAAAGAAATAATATATCCCATAAATATCACTACTTTTACAAGCAATATAATAATAAATAATATTTTTATCTTCATCTGAAGTCAAAATTTGTCATTCTATTAAAAACTTTAAAATGAATAATTTGATTAACTTTTATAGTCTTCAGTTTTACTAAAATAAAGCTACATACTATTTTCTATCATTTTTAAGCTTTTCTGTATCCAGATTTGAATATTCTATCAACATCAAGGGTAGAAAACTAAGTAATTAAAACATACTACTTGTATGTATGCATTTTCACTAATTCATATACCTACTTTTATTAATTTAGGTTTATTAAAGAGAATTTATATAAAAAAAATTATAATACAGAGTTTGTGAAATGTTCACAATTAAGATGAAATATGTTATTTTGTGTCAAAAACAATGACAAAACCATGAAACTGAAAATCAAAAACAGCATGACATCCCTATACATTGATTGTTGGTTTGGGGGACTACTGCTAATCATTTTACTGTAGTCAGACTCACATTTTAACGGTCTTGGACCAAAGTACCACCCTTAGTTTTGATCCCTGTCATCAAATAATGTTGTCAATATTTAAAATGCAATTTATTTTCAAAATATTATAAACTTCTTAGTAAAATATTTTATCTAAAAATATTTATCTGATAAATATAATACATTCTAATAATATAGAACTGAATTTTGATATAATTAAAAAGAACAACATATGAACAAATAATTAAAAAGAACATACACACACGTATAACATATTTATAACTAAAAAAAACTCCCATTAACATTTATTTTCTTTAATTCAAGTTCTTGATTTGTAATGGATATAATAATGTAAGTATGTTATGTCTGTAACACCAATTTTTATAAAATATTGCATACTAGGAAAAAAATTGTTCTTAGCATTTAACTTGTTAATAACAATAACATAAGGATCTGAAAATAATTGAAAAAAATTTGCTTAATTTTGATTAAAAAGAATTTCAAAGAAAACTTTTGTCTGATTTTTATTATAGACATAACATAAAATTGCTCAATTGAAATTCTAAAATTACCAAAACTATTTTTTAAAGAATTACTTGTCTTGCAAATAACATAACATTAACAAAATATTAACATAACATAATATTAACATAACATAATATTAACAAAAATAATCAAAATAGGTTAAATGAAGAAAATATTTTATTGAATAGGAAAACGGAGTTTTTAAATAAGGCTTTTATTTCACATAGTTCTTGAAAGAAAATTAAACATGAGTTCTAAGTTAAAAACAGAGATATTAATTAAATGCTAATAGAAATTGGACTGTGTAACAATAAAATACACAGTTTTAGCTTAAAAATGATGTAAAATATGCTAAATTTGAAATTTTGGTATACTTTCTGTGGAATTACCTATAGACTTCTGCTACTGGGTATAAACATAAATCAAATAGCATGTTCAACTTTTTTTGTGCCTCTTAAAACTAAAAATACTGATGAATGACAAAACTAATAATAAATTAAATCATATTTCAAACACTGATATTTTAATGTGTTTACCTTAAAAAAGAAAACTAGCTCTTTCAAGAAATTCAAATTCAACAGGCTTCCTCAGGAAAAATATAAAGACACCTAAAAACAAAAAATTGAAAAATTAAAAATACATAGCACTTGTCTACAAAAGATCATCCATAGACTTCACAAGCTGTATTGAAAATTTAATAAAAACTAATGTATAATCCCATTATGTATTATATTTGTAATCTAACTATTAAATGTTTAAGAGTGTTTTGTTTTCATATAAGTTCATTAAAAAAGTGCATTTATTATTAGTTTGCAAACTAAAAATACAGGTAACTTGAAAAACTTGCTCAGCTTTGAGTTATTTTAGATATAAGCAGAGCTTTCTTTTGAAAAATTCTTAACTATACCCTTTTGATAATAATTCAAAATTTCTTTTATTATAAGCTTATTGATTTACAGAGATTATTTTGAATGTTTGTAAAATGTTAAACAATGTATCAATCATTTAGATGTAAACAATGAAATTTAACCTGTTGATCCAAAAATATTAATTTAAAGTTTCAATATTTTACAAGAATAATAAGACTTTTGTTATATGGTTTTATCTGAGTTATAATGTTCTGTCAATCAGCAAACTCAAAAGAGTATATCAACTAATGCTTCTTGTCAAAATGTGAGGTTGCTTTACTTTAAAGGCTTTTGCTGTACCTTTTCTGATAATCATGTGGTGCTTTGCAAGGAGACCGGGCTGTCATGTTGCATGTCAAGAGAGAATTTTACATGTAATTTTTTTTTTAAGAAAGTTTAAGGGTTATATTTAAGAATTAATCCAGAACATCAATTTTATGTAGATTAGACTGAGGTTAAAACTCTCCCTTTTTTTTGCAGAAAACCGAAGTCGCGCCATCTTTGAGATAAGTTTTGCAGACTGAACTTCTAGACGAAGTAGAAACAGGATTGAAATAGTCAACAACCATCTTTCCTTATTGGAATCAAGCCAGTTTGATATGCAGATGGTATTCTCAGAAAAGTGGAATTAACTATCTGTTCATTAACCTGGAATCTGACTGGTAAGAAGCATGGTGATTCACTGTGGCCAATGATGTACTCTTGGTGTGGAAGCCCACTTAGACCATAACTTACAACTTTGGAATTGCAAAGGCAATATTGAAATACTGAATCCGTGAGCAGTGAACTGATTATGGAACCTGCCAAATACTGTTCTCATAACTGATGACTTCAAGCTTATATTAATACTTATGTTATGTTCAATAGTTTTAAAATACAGTGTTCCAAGGTGTAAACTATTCACATGAGGTAAAGTCTTAAATTCCTTAATATCTAAAGCAGATAAAAGGTTTTACATTTTGAACACATAAATCTAAATACAGGATAGTCTATTATTAAAAAGGAATTCAAAGTCTCCTGTTAAAAAATTGTCAAAAAATGAGTAATCAGGATAATTTTTAATCAGAAAGTAATATAATGCTATTTATTTATACTATTTTATTAATATAATACTATTTATTACAACAAACGAATCTCGAAACAAAACACGCATTTGATTAATCAACTGCTTAATCTTTATTTCAGTAGTTACTGCTACGGATTTCACAATTTTTTTCTCTAATGTGATAATAAGTCACAAAATGCGAAAAAGAAAATAATTAGTGCATTTTTCTTCCAATAAAATGTAAGAAAATTGCTCATATTAAAATATTAATAATAAAAAAATATACATATTCAATTAAAAATTACATACAGTTTTTTTTTCCTTTTTAAACACAGCACTTCAGTTACTTTAAATTAGTAACATATGTATTTGTTATTATTAAAAGCATCTTGCAGATAGACATTAGTGCTAGAGAGTTTTGTCACAGAAATCCTGAAAAAATTCTGCCATAGGGTTTACAAAATCATCTTGGGATATAACAGCAACTCATTCAGCCAGGATCTGGGATCTCCGACATAACTATTTAAGTAAGACCACTTCTGCAACTCAAAGTAAAATTATTCACTCCAATTCAATATCAACACATCCCCTTTAGACACCAATTAACAATCTAAAAATATGGAGAAATTTTCTGAAACATGCACATAAATAATACTAATAAGATGCTCAGTGATCGAAAACATAAGGCTGCCTTGAACTCACACTTCTAGAACTCTGCAAATAAAATTATCAATTCCTATTCAATATCAACATATCCCATTTGGACATCAATTAACAATCTAAAAGTATGAAGAAATTTTCTAAAACATGCACATAAATAATGCTAATAAAATGCTCAGTGATCAAAAACACAAGGCTGCTTTGAATCCAAAGTTTAAATTCCAAACCTAAAAACAGACTAAATAAAATAAAGCTCTCAAAATAAATAAATTAACTATCATATGATGTGCAGCAAGAATAGTTAACTACATTTAACTTAAAATGACTATCAACAAAAACTAAAATTTGAGATGACAAAACTCATGGGAAGCATCTGCATTCACAACCAGATGTAAAATCTATCAATCTGCATATAACAGTAAAAATTCCAATACAATAATTTTAATGGGTACCATATTAAATAATATCTTATAATCAATGTACTTAATCAATTTTCATTTTATGCAAAAGAAAATACAAAAACTTTCACTTTCAATATATT